AAATTCATTAGAGATAAGAAAAAGTGATTACAATGAATAAACAGTAGTTGGACAGCTTAGGCTATGACGCAAAGCGACCAAAGACAGCAAGCAGCAGCTCCCTTGCACAAAATGAATTATTCGAAAGCTTAAGTGTGTTCGCGCGCGTGCCTGCCTATGTTTTCACGTGTGTTTGGGTTTATATTGGCGACGTCATGGCGATATATTTATGAAAAATGGAAAATGTAAGATCGCTATGCTGCTGTATTTGCATGTCATAAATTATACGAATATTATTTCTCAATGCTTAAATATTTGTAACGCTATGTAACAAGGATTGTTTAATGATATTTAAGCAACTTCTATTAGTCTTTACATTAATAAATTCATAAATCACAATGTGAATTTCTTCGTTGTTTTTCCCTTTTTTTTTTCTTTATAACGATAATGATAATCATTTTTTTTTTTTTTTTTTTTTTTTTTTTTTTCAAAAAATATGTCATATTCGTCCCCATGGTACATTCGCTTTTTAATCCGAGATCTTAAGTTACAAATTTTTTATTATTTCATTCTATTATAGTGAGCGTAAAAGTTTAATTTTCACAAACTCTTTTGAACCGTCGCGAATCTACGAAGATTAATTTCTAACGCGACATGTAGTTAAATAGGTCATACATTTCGGTAAAAACGAAAATCCCCTCTGCGCTCTACACTTAACTTAATACGCTTTATTCCGAACTCTCTGTCTTTCTCAGTCTTTCACTCTCTTTCGCTCACTCGCTCTCTCTCCCCCCTCTCTCTCTCTCTCTCAATCGAAAATACAGATACACAACGGGCACAGTATACATACGCACGCACACAGAGGTACGTGTTAGCGCACACCCGCGCACTCAGCCGAGTCTGCGTAGTGGGGGATCTTTAAACGCCGTGGGAAAGCGATGGACACCTACCGAAAGAGTTAAAGCCGTCCGGAAGAAAGGCGCGTGCACGTGGCAAAGAGCAGCCGCTTTCCACTCGAATAACGGGATATACGTTCTATGAACGTGTCCAATTATTGGCTGCTAATTAGCCAGACGGAGAGCAGCGACACTCGTGCCTCGTGGGGCATCGTAGGGCATCGTAGGGACCCGTTGGCGCCGAGGTCCCAGGCACCAGAAGGCGAGCCCTTCCATAGCTTCTTGCAAGGACGATGGCGCACTCGCCGTTTCGTTTTCCCGCCGAGGGACTCCGTACGCGACATCTCGCGACTTTGATTTTTCCATTATACGATGCGTCGATATACCGAGAGTCCATTGGACCACCGGCCCCCCCTCCCCCATCCCCCATCCCCACCGCCAAAAATTCCCATCGCCCTTCGCCGCCGAAACCCCGACCAATAGCCCGTTGGCCATTGGCCATTGGCCACTGCCCCGCACCCTTTTACGCGTTGACGGGCCACTTTTGCATTGATGGATTGCGGCCCACTTTGGTTCGCCCCTGCCGAATTATTTACGTTTTTATGTGCATGGAACCTTCTTATCTTCTTTTTTTTAACTCGAAATTACATTTGTTCTCCTCCCCCCCCCAGCTCTCTCTCTCTCTCTCTCTCCCTCTCTCTCTCTC